GGAGAACATTCAGCTTCATAATGCATTGCAGGACTCACCACCATCTTATAAAATTTTCCTTCATGTCTACGTGGTACTTTTCTATAATGCAATAGGCTCAATCAATTCCTATCCAACTTGAATTCTATTAACAATATCTCCCTCTATATACCATCACTTTGAACAATAAACCCGAGATATGTTAAAAGTCCACTCTTTTTAATGACTTCATCACTCATTGTTACAATCCAATCACTAGATCTAATACTATTAAAATTATATTCCATGTATTCAATTTTAGATCTACTCAAAAAAAATTCTTGGACTTTGAAGTTGGCTTCCATAATTCAAGATTTACCGGAACTATCTCTCTAGTCTTATCCACAAGAAGAATATCAACGGCAAAAAGCATATACCAAGGCACACCCTCATGTAAATGTCCAGTAAGAACATTCATAACTGTGGGCTTAATGCCGATCCTGATGCAATCCAACTAAAATAGGAAAATATTTCGTAAATTATCCTTGTGGTTGAGCACAAATAACAGTTATAGTATATATATCCTTAATTACTTGAATATAAGCAATATAAACACTTTTTTTTTCTAAAACTCGCCAAAGTCAATCTTTTTGAACTTTATAATTTTTTTAATAAATATGCAGATCCTCCTTACTCTATACTTTTCCATCAAACCTCTCAATAAATATATAGCTTTCATAGTAGACTTGTCTGGCATGAAGATTTCGAGAAAATTTGTATCAATTTGTAACCAATGTTCACTTATTATCTCCCATGACTTTAATGTATTACACATTAACTTTATTCCTTTATAATTTGCACACTCTTGTGCATCCCCTTTATTCTTAAAAATATGAATCAATAGTCTCCTTCTCCACTCATCAAAGCATCTTTTTAATTCTTAAAATAATATTAAAATGTTTAGTAAGCAAAAAATTTCTCGGATCTCATAAACATTTCTACACTTTTATTAGATATCATCAAGTCCTACTGTTTTTCCACACATCATTTTTTTTATAAGTCTCCTCAACTTATATTTTACTAATGTGATGGTGAAAATAAAAAAAAATTATTATTGTTTACGATATTACTATCACTAAAATCAATCATATTTTCACGATCTTCATTAAAAATTTATCAAAATATCTCACTCACTTATGCTGAATATTCTCATCTAAGAAAAAAAATGTATTATTTCAACCTTCATAATGGGTATAAATTAGGCAAATAAGTAATATGTCGATAACTAGGCATATATGAGGTAAGGAAAGAAATAATGGGAAATACTAGCCCAATTTATTAGGACATTAAAATATAGACTCCTAATATTAAGAGTCCTACCTACTAAGCCAATACGGCTAAACACACCAATAGTGCCAGGTAAACTTAACAAAGAATAGCCCTTATCTAAAACACTTACATTGAGACACAAATAACTTTCCCTGCATTATCAATAAGAAAGTTTAATAGAGAATAATGCTTATAAAAAACTCTTACATTAGCCTATATAATATTGAGTAGCCAGCCACTTCACACCTAGAATATCTCCATATAGGTCAATTTATAAATAATAGTAATGCATGCACTCCCTTGAATTTTCTTATTTCTCATCTCAATAGGTTAAGCGCCACAATCAAAGAGAATGTGATAATATTCATACCAACTTTGAATGATATATATATATATATAAGAAATGGTCAGCGGCTATTATACGAGTCTCCAGCCACCCCTAATGTGTCTAACAATTCAAGTACCACCTCCTTAAGACAAATTGTGTCAGAGGGGATACAAACCCCCGACCTGAGGGGTCTTATACCGTGGATGCCAACCAACAGGCCAGGGCACGGGGCAAGTGCACACACACACACAGATATATATATATACACATAGATATATATGAAGCATTATTCCATAAACAGAACTTCACTATTGGAAATCTTACATTATTCCGACGCAAAATGAAATCTATCAATATATGACAGACATCAAAATAGATTCTAACATATAAAAAATAAATATTAAATAGAATAAAAATAAAGCAGGTTTTGTTAAAGCCCAAAGTTAATGTACCTTGTCAATGGTAACGTGAGGAAACAAGTTGAAACAAATAGATGAATAGACAACCATCAGTCAAAAAAAAAAATCCTAGAGTTTATAAATTTAATGTCAATATAGAAATCACCAATAAGATGGAATAATTCTTCCAACAAAAGATTGTTGATCAACCTATTCATTTTATTGGGTCCTAAACATATTCTTTTAGATTTCACAAGGATGCTTTCTCTTGGAAAATTTCTTAAATTATTTTACCCATCCAAGTCCAATTAATCATTAATAACAAAAAATGAAGGGCTTCGCTTGGCCATACTCCAACCGACTAAGCTAATAGCTAACGCTTTCTTTCATCTTTCTACTTCATATTAAATGCATTCAATTGTGAGACTCGACCAAAAAAATGTGGCAACAATTAGCTTCTCTTGTCCTAATTTCATCCTTAGTAGGCTAGCTAACCAATACTAAGACAAATGAAGGACTTGATCAAACTAAATTATAACTTATTAAGATATCAATAAACACTTCCATTCATGTCAAAGGCATTCAACAATGATGCTCGACCTAATGGAGAGGGAAAAAGTAACACTAAAGGTATTTGAGAAGTTAAACTCAATAGTCATTATTCTACGCACCTATTCATGGCATGGTGGTTGAGGATGTAATACCTCACTATGTGGTTGCAGGTTTGAAGTGTATATTGCCCTTTGGGCTCAAATTTCCCCCTAAAAATGTCACTATTTGAATTCTATGCATTAAACATTTTCAAATAAATCTATGTATTTCTTTCAGAAAATTCACATCATGTGTCATATGTATAAATTCAAAATAATTACAGGACTATAAAATTGAAAAATAGAATGTTGATGATGGATATGTGTGTGACGAACTAAATCTTCATCAAATGTTATTTTTGAGAGATGTTTACGATACCAACCTATGAAAACTCTTCTAAAAATAACCAAATTATAATAAATTGCTAGTATTTACATGATTGGTTTCAATTTTTAAGTACAGATTAGTCATCAAATTTTAATAAGCTCTTTCGCCCTAAAATGTATCTTCTTTTATAAATTGGCCAACGAGTCTTAAGTTGATATGCATTTAAGATGATAAATATGAAATTATAAGATCAGCTCATGACAAAAGGTTTAACGTGAGAAGATCTCAAAAAGAATTATAAAAAATTAAGCTTGGAATGCAATGAATAAGTTATAGAATATGTTATGGAAACATGAAACTGTCCAGCTGACACTTGAGATTACAAGAACAATTGATTAATCACCATGTATCCATTTAAGTATCAACATTGAAGGCAATGGTCGAAATTTAAACATTTGTTGGGTTAAACTTCACAAACACATTATCATCCATATCAAAACATACTATTAAAAATATTTTAGTTGATAATATAGTCAATTAAATCTAATCAGGATTTCAGAATTATGATACTACTTACGACCACTTCAGTCCTGTTCTAGTCAGTATCTAGTGTTAACTAGTAGCTCTACATTCTGAGAATGCTAATTATGTTAGCTTTGAACTACCTATTTCCCTACTTTATCTCTTTTATATTTGAGTCACCTGACATGAATGCATCCTCTTCTCTTAAATCCACATGTCAGAAACATCATCTATTTCCTACTGTTTTATTCTCTATGCATATAGCTAAATGTTATCCAAAATTCAATTTTACATCTAATCCTTTTAAATTTTATCATATATCTTAAGATTATCATGTATAATACTTTAAACATGAAACAAGTTCTAGATATTGCAAATAGCTCACAATTTATCACTATAGAAGCAGATAATATTAATTGGCACTACTTAGACTCAAAACAAAGCTCTTAAGGTAGTAGTGTAAATGTAAATCTTCGTTGAATTAACAAATCTAATTTTATAGGTACATCATTGCCATCAACAAGTTTCTATAAAAGCACTTTGCGATTTTGGAGAAGCGGGATTAGCATTTAGAACAAATGGAATGACATTTTAGAATGGACAAATTGAAGTCATATTTTAGAACATTAGAAAGGAAAGTTTCCAAACACAATCCCTGGCAAAATAAACAAGTCATTGCTTATTCCTAGATGGACAAATTTTAGATCAATGAATACATTAATGATTAAACAAAATTCTTCCTTAGCTGCATTTGACTGAATAAATCACAATTCATATAACCCAAAAAGAAGCACATTAACAGTTTATGATTTTTTAAGGGTTATGCAACTAGACTGTTCATCACACAATAAGGTTCGAATAAATTCTTATAATAGATGATTGATTGCCCCAAAATTTACATGAAAAATAAGCACATGCAAGGATTTACACAAGCAGGTGTGGCTTCAATCCATCTACCAATCACTTTCATGCTAATCCATTTCATCATCCGCAATGAACACCATATGATTGTTTGATCATAAAACACAGATCTTAATGTAAGAATGATCCGGATCAATTGCATGAATCACAATAAAAAAATCAAATCATTGTAAACACCAGCCACAGAGCCTCTAAAACTAAATCAATTCCTCCAGCTCTAAAGCATAACACTACAACACCACGATTCATAGCATTGCTAGTGTAATCCCACAAACACCAATCTAGCAATTCACCAATGTTCTATTATGTGATAGCACATCAATCTACCACGACTTCTACAGATAATATAGCTTAGTTCCACATCCTCTGAAATGAATATTACCACAGAAAACTTGAACAAAACATATTAGTATTGCAGTAGAAAGACTCGGCTCACATTATTCTAAGACTTATTGAACTACCAAGTAACGCACTTGACTTGAGTATAAAACCATCTCAAAAGGTAAAATCCCTAAGGACAATGTTTGACCGTACTTGTTGTGATAGAAGTAACTAGCGAATAGATTTGATAATAGAAAAGCTAATGAAGTTTCATTCTTATCCATTCATTGAAATCAAAGAAATACCTTTGTGCAGCTCTTATAGCATTCCGTCGAAATTCCAAAGCCCTACTGGAGCCCTGGCCATTTTCTCCTTCTGCAGCTTGAGCAACTGAAATCACTGTATAAGGATTGGACTCAGATGCATTGTTTTGAGAAAAATTCTGAAATGAGTTTGTCGCAGATTGCTCAGTAACTTGTCTGCTGCGATTAATGTACCGCCAATAAAGATGAGGAAGAGTAGCAACACATCCTGCTGTATAACCTACAACCCAGGCAAATAATGGAGTTTGTGGGTGCTCATGCTTTGAAAAAGAAAGAACAACAACAGCTGCCATGATCTGGCTCAGATTAACAATGAGCTCAATGGAGATCCATAAACCAGAATTCAAAGGGCTTCTATTGCGCCGGCCATAATTATCAACTCCCCTACTGGAGGAATCATTTCTCGAACTTGATGTTGTTTGTGATCTTGATGAATGAGATGTGGAAGCATTTGTGGTTGTCGAAGGTCTATCCTCATTGTGTCCATTTCCATGAACCTCTGATGCTGAAGAAACACAACCTCGTGCTACATCTATTACATGCTCATCTAAATTGTTATTTACTGCCCGGTCCATAAGCAATGGATATCTGTCTGTTTGACTTTCACACTGTTGTTCAAGTGAGGAACCAATAGCCATCCAAGTCTGTCAAAAACTTTGAAAATATGATAACATAGAGAGGTTGCTTTCTTATGTTTCAACACTCTCCCTGCATAAAATTAAATAATCATATTCTCATAAATTCATATATGGATACAAGATGCCTCATCAACTTAATAATAATAAAGAGTGATTACTATGGCTCAATTCCTATTTATTTACATATCTAACCCCTAAACATTACTATTTAGGTTTATACAACCCAAATCTTTCATATCATATCAAAAATACCCCCATTTTAACTTTTAAATTGTGAAATACATCTTTTCATGCATAAGTTAGTCGGCATGATGTAAGAATTGTAGTGTAGGTGTTAGATATGTAAATACATTGGAATTGAGTGGTATGTACATAAATCTTCCAAGATTTTAGCATCATTGTTGAAGACAAACTTTGAAGCCGTAACAATAGATAATTTCTATCTTGCTCAAAAAACATGTTTTACAATCAAATCAACCTGAAGGAAATGGAACTAAACTTCATTCAATAATCAAATTTGCAATTATTTCAAAGCTAAAGCAGTTCACACGCCACTCACTAAACAGCATTGTCTGAATTATTTCAGCAAAAATCATGAATTCAGGTACATTAATTGATATTTAAACTAATGAAACCCATGAATAATTTCAACAAAATTCAGGTAAATTAACTGATATTTTATAGATTGAAAAGAAATAAAGAAAATGCCAACCATAAGACCTAAAATCGTATTAGTTAAAAAATCTTTCAAGTGTCAAATATTAAGCCAAGAAAATCGGTTACAGCATTGTCTGAATTCGTTGAGTATAAAAAAGAACTTCCAGGAAAACAACATGCAGGCCAAAAGAAATAAATGCATCTCAATTACGAGCCCTAAAAATAAAACAACAAATTACTGCCCAACCCCCAAACCGAATAGAACTCCATCAAATTTCATAACAGCAAAAATTAACCAAATATGGTGCTTTTAATTCCCCCAACACAACAAATGAAGCAATCAAATAGGCTCAATAACAAAAAAGAAAGAACAGACGGAAGCCCCAAATTACATTTCTAACCAAAAAACACATGATAGCTCCATCTTCAATACCATATTAGTAATAAAGGCCGGTTCCCAGGATAAAAACCATGGAAAGAGCAGAAGCCCAAACAAGTCAATTTCGAAGTCGGAACCCACATAAAAAACCTAATCAAAAAAAAAAAAAAAAAAAAAAGGGTATTGCCGCGCCTCAAAATTCTACAGAAAGCAAAGTGAAATAATTAAACAAGAACATAACAAATCCAACAAACGATGATGGGAGATTATTTCACCTCAAAAATCTCGCCTCCTCCTCTGAATTTCCACGCAAAAATAGCTAAAAAAATGTTTTACGGTTAAACAAAAAACCACTTCAGCTTTCGTGGTTTTGAGGTCCTCTATCCCCGTTTTGGAAAGAGGATCGAGGAAGGGAAAAAAAGATAAGAACTAAGAGAAAAAGACAAGGGAGAAAATAGAGATTTACTATGTTTTTTTTTTTTTTTTTTTTTTAATGACTGTGTAATTTTTTAAATTAAAATTAAAATTTTGATAGACAATATTAAGGGAACAAATATTACATGTAATGGCCGCACGTTTGGACGATGGTTCGGATGTGACAACGAAATATTATGTGTACTTCATTTGTATGGACGACGTATAAGAATTTGAACATGTTACTATTGATTCACGACATCCGTTTGTATGGACATAATATTTTTTTCTCAAATAGACACATGAGAAGAACCTAGCCCTTGGATAAAAATGTGATATTATGGCAATTAAGAGTGTGATTTAGTATTTGATTAGTAGGGCTGTCAAGAAAGCTCGTCGTGCCCAAACAATTTGTGTTCAGTTTATTAAGTAGCTCTTGTTCGATTCTTTCATCAAACAAGTAAGTCAAACATGAATGATTTTTTGAGCTCGATTTATAAATCGGTCAAACATGAATAAAGGTTTGTTCGTTCGTATTCAGCTAATTGTGAATCAAAATAATCAAATAATCAAATATCAAATAATTATTATTATTTATATCATTTTTCTATTATTTTTTTAAAATATATTTAAAAGAATGAATATAAGAAATTTAAGAGATATAAATGCAGCAAGTAAAATTTAGGTCTTAAATATATAAATAAATAGGAATTGGCTTGTATGTATTTAAAAGCCCAAAAGAAAAAGGCTAGGCTAAAGCTAATCTCATCACTTTGTCCCACTCTTCTCTTATATTCAGAAGTTATAGAGGTAAATACATAGGAACTTGCTGTTATGTGTGTAGCCCACATTTGTGGGGAGGTTTCCTTGCGGCCTTGGAGGTGCTTAACTGTATGAAAATCTCACTTTTGAGCACTATAGTTGTGTGGCCTATATGAGACTTATAGCTTTTGAGCTCCCATTCGAGTTGAACACAAGCTTAATTGGAACATTTGAGCTTGAATCAAGTTGAACACAAATATGTTATTCACGAGTCATTTCAAACACAAGCAAAACACAAACAAAAATAAATTTTAGCAAGCCAAAGACGAACAAGCCATGGACTCTCTCAAGCTCGACCATTTAACCCCTAAGGATTAGTCGGTATAAATTTTGAAAAAAAAAATAGTTGATCACTTAAATTGTCATAGAAGTCCAACCATTTAGAAGTTAATTTAATCACAATAGTAATGTAGAAACAGCTCTCTAAGTGCTTGTTACTAAAATTAAACAATCATGAAAAGACAGCCAGACCTATTTAGGAGTTTATCTGGAAAGATTGCAGTTTTTGTTGACTTTAATCATTATTTTTTTCTATATTTTAACTTAAAACCAAAGATCAGACTCAGACCAAAGCCTTGGTTTCAATTTTTCTCTAACGTCAACGTAGATTCAAATCATAATATGTTCTGAAACTAAATCGAATCATGCACTCAGATCCTCCTATATCGTACAAAAAATTTATAAGCATATAAGTACACTCATTAAAAATCATCTAATCTCCAATCCACCAGAATAAGAGACGAAAGATATAAATATCTCAGCACAGACAATTGAGCAAGTTGTCAAATTTTTATTCTTTTGGGTCTTGTTTGACCAAATATAATATCTCATTATTAGTTGGAAAAAGAGACGATATAGTCATCAATAAATAAAATATATGATAGAAAGGACCATGAAATATATAATTCAGGAAAATCATGCATTGATATAAATAGAGCTTTCTCTAATATATCATATTCAACATAAGTGTAAGTGTTGATCTTACAGTGAACCAACAGTCCAAAAGAAAGGAATGCGGTGGAGAAGAATCCCATGTAAAGAGATTGTGATGCCCATCAAGCCGACCGAGATAAGTCAGACGAGTTATGCCAATTTAGCCAAAGCCGACTGAATTTAAAAGTTGATGGAAGAGTGGTTGATCGATGCCGACAGAGCAGCACATTCAGAAATCAATCATGAGGGTGTCCAAGTCTCTAAATCAAATGGAGCCAACCCATAAGAGAGCTAGCCCAATGGGAAGGTCAGTTCTAGAAATATATTCAGACAACTCATAGATATCAAGACCTTTCGCTGGAGATGAGACATGTGTAAATATTCAACTGAACTGAACCAACAGAGCTAGGTCAGCCAAGCCAAGTCAAGTATGTTGAGCCGATCGAGCTAGAAAATTACCATATGATGAGTTGTTGCTTATAAAATACCAAAAATATTAGAGAGTAAACCTCATCCAAATAGAGGCAAAATGTAATATTATTATTGTACTAAATCCTTTATAAATAGAGGATGCATTTATTGAAGAGGGGTTCCATTATTTTTACTATTCATTTGAAAGATATAGCTCCATTATAGAAATAATATCTCTCCAACAATCTGTCCACTCTCTTCTCACGCTCTATATGTTTTGTGTGATTTGCAAATATTTTTTGGTTCAATACTTTGAAAAGTGTTGTCAGCATGAATCATGTAACAAATAAGGAGAAGAGCAAACCAAGGAGAATAACCTCACAACAGGAAGATTAAAAACTACTTGAAGTGCACCTGGGAGTTTATAGCCCAGCATATCCAAGATATGAAGAATCAAATGTTAGAAAAGATTAGAGGCACACAGACCTGAGAGAGATATCAACAATCTCTACTTGATGCTCTGAAATCAAATAGTAGAAGTGTCCTCTCGATCTTTAAGAGAGAGGACAATGCCCAATACCTCGACAGTGAAGTCGGCACCAATTGATTGCAACCAATTCAGGCGTATCGAAGCACCGCTCCAAGCAAAAAATGTTTTTTCCCCGACAAATCTCTAAAGTTGAGCCTCCAGATTGATCAAGATTTTGGCACTAGAATCATGCAAAGCACAACTAGATCTAGTTGATCATGTCACTTCTTTTGATTCGATTGCATGTCTTCTCAGAAACAAAGATGTGTTGAAATGTCTACTCGTTTTCACCACACTGAGAAATTCAACTCTTGGATGGTTTAACATATTACTATAATGAGTAATCACATCATTCACAAATTTCAAGTAGATGTTTGTCGCACGGTTCGTTGGCACTCGAAAACCCCAAAAAGCTCGCAAGCTCTTCTACAGCTCTGTTAGGGACAGAGTGAGACTGTGCTCTTCTACAACTCTACAACTCACAAGCTCTTCCATAGCTCACACACACTTTTAGAAAGAGAAGTTAGAGGTTTGGGATTTAGAACCTATGGTTGCCCCTGCAACCCTTGCGTAGGGACGAAGGGAAGAACATTTAAGTTTTTTGTTAGGTTTGTAGTGATTGAAGACTCTGGTCTAGTTGATTGAGTTCACTAACAATCATATATCGACATAAGAATATAATTCTTTTCCAACCTCATTGAAAACATAACCAATTAACTGTCTCACACTAAAGAGAATGGATAAGGAACGCTCACACTCCTATCCGAGCTCGCTTTAAGGACTCACAATCACCCCCAAATAACCGGCTGACCGACATAACTTATTAAAGAGGAAATAAAACTTGGTATTCTGAATAGTGGCAAGCTCGATTTTTGGAGCAACTTTACCCCCAAGTTAATTCACCTAAGAGCCTCAATAGTCAAAAAGTGGAGTACATTCAAAATAACATCTACCCACAAAACCCCCAAGTTAATTCACCTAAGACCCTCAATAGTCAAAAAGTGGAGTACATTCAAAATAAGAACTACTTCAAGAAGGTAACTAAGATGAAAGTTGGGGCTTATCTCCGAGACCCAAAGAAGCAGTATGTGTATCATCGTTACTAAGATTACCACACGGAAGAGTGTCAACACCTTTGGAGTATAGCCAAATATTTGATTGAATCTGAGAAATTGAAGGAGACTATAGCTCCCAAAGCAAACACACAATGATAGGGAAAAGCTCTGGTCGAAGGAATTACGAATGACCCAACCCGAGCTCATGTAATCTGCATAGTAAGCGTAGTTCCCACCATCCTCAAAGGAAGTTAAATCAATTCGACTTATCCAATCAAGAGATCTATGCACAGTCGTCCTACTGTCATAACTCAGTTTGCACCTCCTATTTCTTATCTACCACCTAAGAGAAACCCATATGATAAAGTTATCGGCATAACATCTGATCATCAATTTTCAACTTAGTACCATACTAATTAAAAACTATGGGTTCAGTAAATATAATCTTCAAATCAGTGTTCTATATGATAGGTCTGAGCATCTCCCATCTTTTGGTCATGCTAGGAACACTCTATGGGTTTTCCGGTGAGGGGAAGGAAACTCTACAAAACCTCTCTCTACAAATCACTCAGGGAGAAAATGAGAAGTAACTCACCACCATGACAGACTTCAATGTGGTTGATTCACCACCTATGTTCAACATCATCTTCCATCAACCCCTACTCAAATCTTTTTAAGTTATCACATCCACCTACCATATAGCTGTGATATCTTTTGGAGATGAATAAATGATCATTGTCTGAGGTGACCTGGAGTAGTCTTGCACTTGATACCTATGCTAAGTAACAATGTCAGCCAAAACCTCTCAAAATCGACACTTAGTGTGGGGGAGGTCTCGAGACTAGTGAGATCACCCATCAGATCCCAATGACCAAAAATGATGCAGGTAAAAGTTTATTAATATGTAAAGTTTTTTATACAGAACACAGGAGTGAACTAATCAATACTCTTCAAGACCACCGAGACATTTTGCTTGGTCAATCTCTGAGATGTATGGGATATCGATCAACATCGCTTGCTATCAGTTGAACGTCAACCCAACAGCCTGTCCCATGTAGCGAAAGATGTGAACATCTATAGTCACACTAGTCAGGAATATTTGAGAAGACATACAAAAGATGTTATAGCCCGACTATATTTGGGAGGTTTAATTCCTGAGATTGGTGTCCAACATGCTCATGGTCTAAAAGATGAATGACAAATGATGAATTTGGTTGAATGTTTTCAACTGC